CTATAGGTAGATGATTTGGTGCATTCTTGGCTTGGTTCTACAAAGGTGGCTTTGGTGTAGAGGGTAAGCCTTGGAATCATGGTTTGGATAGTCCACCTGAGTTAGGACCCCTGTGTCCATGTCCCCACTCCGCCTCGGTCGAGATGTTGTGGCGAGTCCAGTTCAGCTTCGCATAAGCAAACTCTGGAGTGTGCAGGCGATAGAACTGGTCCAGGATTTCTTCCACTCGCACCATCCACATCCCTTCGTAGCACACCAACATGGAGCCAGCCAGAATAGCTTGCAGCGCTCGCGCCAAGTATGCACGTGCCAACACAGGGTCGGCACCGGCAGCAGCACTCGCACAAAGCAAGCTACTTGAGACGACAGCGGCAGCACATTCTAAGTCTCCACTTTCGACAAAGGGCCTAAAGCGCTCACATGCTGGTGCCAGTTGTTCAGTGCTGGGCAAGGAGAAGAGAAGGTCTGTAACCAGCTGCTGACCAGACTCGAAGTGTGCACCACACATGCAGGGCAAAAACCTCTCACGCAACATCCAGGCCACTTGAAGGGATTCCTCCGACAAGCCATAGCTGGGATCTCCACAGCCCCACCTCCGGCACCCTTCAAAGCGTGGCCAGCCAATCAGCTGCCGCGGCGACGCGGAGGCGTCGGTACCTCCGGCGAAGCCGACCGAGGTCGCGAAGCCACGCGCGAGCGCGGGCGGAGTGAAGAGGCCATATCTCAAGCCGACGAAGGGCGAGCGCGCCCGTTGCAGCGAGCACTCGGAGGTTCCCTCCAGCACGCTACAATGAAGCTCCTTCTCATCGTAGAAGCGCAGCACTTCGGAGCCACAGGTCCAATCCAGCTGAGTTCCCGGAAGTAGGTGCACTTCAGGACAGGAGGACTGGATCACCTGACTCACAGCTCTGTGAAGCGTCAAGGATCCCATCCATTCACTTCGTGTGAAAGCTCCATCCACGGTCACATCGGCCTTCCGTGGAACGGCTCCTCTGTACCACTTGCGAAGCTCGACCAGTGTGGCATATAGCACTTCACTGTAGGGAGTGCATGCCATGATGGCATTGAGTATGGCACCATCTGCAGTGAAGGCTGAGAGAAAGGTGGTGGACACACCGATCATCGTGGATAATGGCACGAGCAATTCCACGTCTAAATCCACGTAGAAGCCACCCTCTCGGTAAAGCACTGCAGCCCGGCACAGGTCTCCACGAAAGCTTCCTCGAAACTCCCGTCGGAACATTCCTGCGAGCTCTGAGTCGTAATAATAGGAGATGTAAGAGTAGCAATCGGCATCGCTAAACCACTGAATATTGAGGCCAGGGTTTGCAGAGATGATTTCCTCTACATTTCGCCGAATCTCCAGTGGTAGATCATGCAAGAAAGAGCCCGGACCTGTTAAAATGAGCTGTCGCGGGATGCCGATGGCGTGCATACGCCGCAAGTGATCATGCCAGCTGCCCCCCTACAGGTGCAAGGTAACGCTTACGTTGCAAACGAAGTTTTCTTCAGATCTTATGCCTAAGGTGTCTATTGGGGTCTGGAAACTTGGAGTTGTGGGCACTGTGGGCTCCAGTGTGTTCTCTGATCGAAGCCATTAGATCATTAGATCTATTAGTGTATACAATTTGTGTGGCTGGTATCTAGGTCACCACATCACCCCTGTGCGTTTGAACGTTAGCCCTCTTCCATGCCACTGGACGGTCCCCTCATGGACGGGTCCAAGAAAACGCTACTCCTTGGAGCCAAACGAATCCAGCGAACCAACGAAATGAACCCCGAAAGCGCGGAGGAACAAGGACGCGAACCGAACGGAGCTCCTGATTGAGGCCCGGGTGTCACGGGTGTCACGGGTGCGTGCGTTCCAGTGATCCCATTTCCGATGACCCGCAGGAGCGAGATTAGAGCCCCTTGACGAAGTCTTCCTTCTGATTCCCTACCACACTCATCACATGTAATCCATCAAAGCCTCCAACACTTGCTGGTCTGATCAAGATCTTGCCGCCTTCGGCACACCGGCAGTCACACCATGCGGCTACACGGCGGTCGCACCATTCCACGCTCTTGCACTCCATCCGCTTTGGTCAAAGGCTCGTCCTGTCGCAGTCCCAGACGGCGCGAACGGAATGGTGCCTTGGGGAGGAGGCACGGTGCCGAGAGGGTGTTGTGGACTCATATCAACTGAAATTAAAATACATTAAGTAAACCCACCAGGGGTAGGTACCTGCAAATCAATACCAGATTCTACTGTAAGCTTTACTCCACACACAACTCCGACCAAAACGAACGGACAGTCCCCAGGACATCGTTCTTCTTTGTCTGGATCAAGGCCATCTGGCCCTTGAAACCTCTGGCCAGACGCGAGAGAGAGAGAGAGAGACCTGGTTGCAAAACTGGTTGATAGATGAGTTCTCTTGCACCACATATATAACAGGTACAGTACGACTTGAAAAATACCGGATCTGCCATTGGTAACGTCGACTCTTGATTAATCTCCCCAGTCCTGAAGAGGTTGTTCAATCCAAACAGGGTGGGTGTATCAGTGTATTGATTAAGAGTCTACATTAACCATATTGTGGTGTAAGCCTAGGCCCATTGACAGTGTGTCAAACATTCAGAAAGTCTTTCCAGAATAGGGAAATGTTCCACAGCAGTCTAAGCAAAAACCCTAAGCTGAAGACCACAAGGATTGTCCATGCGTCAAATTACTGGCCTGGCGCGAGCTTTCTCAACCCCCTGAAGACAGCTCTAAATTCAAAGCGGCTTTGCGGATCTTCTTCTCTCACAACTCATACATGGTCAATCTGTCACACTTCAAGCTTGCTCAGCTCATGTCCAGGGCTGGGTCCGATTTGCAAGGACCTATGTCAAAGTCAACTTCTAAGCATGGAAGGCGGACGGTCTCAAAGCCATCGGTGGCACAACAGGTGCTACACCTTGGGCCGCAGATTCAGAAGACTTTCGGAACATGTTTGCAGGTGAGCCTTTCAAAAATGAGAACTCCTTAGCTGATTGATCTGTTTGAGTGCAGTCAACCAGCTCTTAGCTTAGCTTAGCTGCTTATGCTTAGCTGCTCGTTCACACGATTGGAGCACTTCGTTCCAGCCTGAGGTATGACAAAGCCAATGAAAGCTCATCCTGCGTGATCGGTCGAAGCCGAAGAGACCGGAAGGAACGGTCGGAGCCGCGGTCCTCCATGTGACGCCCAAAGGAGAAAGGCAGGAAAAGTGGTGGCCGAAAGGGTGGCTTTCAGAGGACAAATAGGAGTTCTTCGGTTGCAACCACTGTGTATTATAATATAATATATATATACAATCTATCAATATAATTATGTTGCTTTTGAAACCATTCTCCTGCTGTCTTCCTTTCCCAAAATCTTGCTTCAAACACTTCGTCTCTTACCAAAGAGTCTGGCGTTCTCGTCAAGTAGAGTCGGGTGGATCGTGCTTTTGATCTCTGTGAGGCTCCATCTTAACATCTGCGTGGCTCGTGATGTGGAAATGCTTGCCGTTAGAGGTGAAATAACGTCAAATCACCAGCGGTTACAAGCAGCAGCTCCGGGCCAAACGCAGCAATGGCGATTGCATGCATGAAACATGAGGGCCAGTTCACTTGGCTCAACGTTGCGACGTCCACCCCAAGTTCATGGGAAAATCATCAACTCTTAGCCGTGTTGGGCATGTTTGCCACTCGCATGACGTGAAAGGACACTCACTCTCACTCTTCCGTCAAGTGAAGTTCCGCTGTTCTGCTATTTTTTCAAGCGAGGAGGGGCTTTCTGCGACAAGAACTCACGCATGCATGACACGACTCCTCCACTTGCAGGGCTCTCGGTGCAAGCCAGCGAGGCATTGCCCCCCCGACTGTTGACAGCTGTGCCAACTTGCACCTGGATCTTTTAAAGATCGAGCTCTTCTAAATCAGTTGAAAATGTCAGACTTCGCAGTTGATGCTCAACTCTTCCATGGACTGCCTGAGGCTGCAAGCCCGGCTAAGGATCTTTTCTCCTGCACAGGGAGCCAGATCATCAATACCGGACACGTGAATTCCACTGCCTTGGTTGACGAAGTTAGATGCCCATGGCAACACGTGACAGAGATTGTCCAAGATCTATGTTTAAGTTCAGGAAAAGCTCCTAGTAATTAGCGTCCTTGCTCCTAGTGGTAAGGCCAGGAGCTACCTTGCTCCTAGTAGCGATGCACTTTGCTCCTAGTAGCTTCTTGCTCCTAGGATATGGATGGACATGGGATCTTTTGTGAGTAGCTGTTGGAGCGGGGCTGTACATGTTCCAGTCAAGCCCGTCAGGAAATCAGGAAAAAGAGTGCAAATGATCCTACAGTAGATATCCTAGATCATCACCTGCAATGGGGAAACACGATGGAATGACCAGCTCCCCCAACAACAACAACAACAACAACAAAAGACTCCAAACGTCCACTGCAAGCTGGTTTCATGTTCCCAGCCCTACTCGTCCCTTTCCAGGTCCGTTCCCCGCCTTGTCCGGAGGCCGACTCTTTGGCGCGACCTTGCTCTTTGCCTTGCTGCCCTTGCGATCCCCACGCTCCAAAAGCATCTTGACCTCCACGGTCAGGCGGGGACATGCGGAGGGTTTGGTGGCCAATGCCAAGAATTTGGAGGTGGTTCCAACAAATGTCCTCAGAATCCCAGAAGTTGTGTGGACATAGATGCAAGTATCGCAAAGTGGGAGAGCCTTCTGTAGCTTTCACACCCAAATGGAGAAGCAAAAAAAACAGCTCACACGTCTGGAGAACCTGCTGAGGGCCCGAGCAGGGTGGTTGCCGGGTCCCGCTGGTTTCGGGGTGGCTATTGGTCCAAGCGGATTTGGTGAAATGATATCAAAAATGTCCAGCTATGTTAGATTGAGCATCCATTTCACCAATTTGGCATATTCTTTAAAAAGTCCTTTCACATCTCATGTTGTTAAGTGTCCAAGTCCAAATGTTTCTGTTCATCCGGTCGTCCCCTTGGATGCGCTCCCTTCACTCGCCGTCCGGCGCCTCGATGGGACCCTTGCCGAGCTGGAGCTCCTGCCACTTTTCGGCGTCCAGAAGCTGTCCATCGGTAGTGAAGAAGCTCAAGGAATCCAACGGCTTACTCCAAAGCTCCGCCAACTTCTTTTGGAGCTCTGGGAAAGGCACATCTCCCTTTAAAGAGATGTTCTTCACCTGCGAATGATGTGTAGAATCATGAGCATGAATCATGAATGATCACAATGAATTCAGGGCTTGAAAAACTTGAGCCGAAGTAGCAATGAATGATACTTACTATTGCAACCAAGCAACAAACGGGCCACATTGGGACCGAACGCCGATCTGCTTCTCTTTCATCCTAGTTTGCTGTAAACAAGAGTTTGCCTCATCCAAAGCTCGAGCTGATACACAGTTCTTCCGACCATCTGGCATCTTCACAGCATCCTGGACTGCTTGCATCAGATTCACTGCTTGCTCCATTTCAGGTAGTGTCTTCGCACTCTTGAATTGGTCTTCCGCACACATCCCCAGTCTCTGTGAATGGCTGAGAATCGCCGTCTCACAAGGCTCTGTAGACAGCAAGCGCTGGGCTTGTCGGACGGCCACGGCCAATTCCACGGGATCGGGTCCTGCTTGGCTGGTGTCTTGCAAAATCTGAATACAACGCAGTCTGGCATCGATACACTTGGCACGCGCCAACGACTCCGCGCCGAGTCTCCTTTCTTCTGGCGAGACCGAGACAGGGTCGCTGGAGACCGTCGAGTCAGCGAAGATCTGATCGCAGAGTTCCACCAAGTCCTGCTTCTCGGATAAACCTGCGATGGAGCGCCCTTCAGCTGAAATGTACTCTTTCAGCTGTGGAACCGACCAAGAGCTGAAGTCCAGTACGGCCATAGCCTCGGAGATGGGATCAAACGCTGGGAATTGCTTCAGGAGCTCAATCAAATCCTTCTGCAGTTTCACCAGCTCCTGCAACTCCTTGACTTCTGCTGCCTCCTCCAGAGTCATTCCACTTCCTGTGCTAGATTTCAGAAGACGCTCACGTGCATCTGCGGCCATTTCAGAGAAACCTCCTCCGGAACCCTCCGGAAGCACAGGAGCGTCAGCATCATCTTCAGCCGAAATCATCGCCTGCTTAATGGGAGTCCATTCCTGTTCACCTCCAAGTAGCCAACTCAGAAACTCCTCGTAGTCCAGATTTTCATCGCCATTGGAATCGGCAGCTTTTAACAACACCGACGCCACACCCGAAGCCCATTTCGGATGCAACTTCTGTAAGAGGTTGGTGAGCTCTGTCCGGCTTAAGAGCCCATTCTTACTGTACTTCTTGAAGAGCTCCCGCAACTTCTCTTGGGACTCACTTGGGACTTCCAGGCTGTGCAGCTCCTCTGGCACTAAGGAGTCTTTCCACTCCACGTTCCGTTCCAACTGGAGGACCGTGACCTCAGCGGCAGTGAGGTGCATGTGCGGCCAAGGCTTCTGAACCAAAGACGAGTGACGAGGCTTCTGCTATTCTCAGCACGTTCCGATTTTCAAAAAAAAAAATGTCGATGGCAGTGATATAAACTTAATCACCCTTATGCCTCAGCTTTCACTGCTGAGTCACAAAGAAAGAGGCTCTAATTCCCACTGCCTCATGGTCATCAACAGTCCGATATTTATGTTCCTTCTTCCTGGTTAAGGAGAATTCCAAGGTAGGCAAAGGGAAACTGGTCTTGCGAATGGTGTTCCACGTCTATATCTTAGGTCCCCAAGTAGACCCAAGAGAGAGTCCTTTGGAACGGTGAAGTACCACAGCCCGACCGAGTCGCGACGCAAACCACGCATACCGCCGAGTCGCTCTCAAGAGCTCATGATCTGTTAACATCTCGCTCAAGGTGGGGCGGGTGCCTGGATCTTTCACCAGCATCGCAGCGCAAATCTCTTGGAGTTCCCACGAGTATCCTCAATCCGAATCCGTCGGTGACTCTGAACATGTGAGATATAGGGTGAATGGGAAAGATGTGCTGCTGCTTTTGTTTGTAGAGTGTGAAGAAGAGAACAGCTGGACGGGTGAAGTGTCTCAGTTTGCATTTTGCCAAGAAGCAGCTGTTGATGAAACATAGAGAAATGGACGTGTCATTCAAAGCGGGTTTCAACGGTTCAAGTCACCTGTTCGGGCCCTAGAATGGACGAAGCCTAAAAACATGTTCGGGGATGACTGGGGCCAAAAACACACCGCAAAACTGCAACAACAATTGACACCTTTTTTAACTAGCGCAGAAAAAGGCAAAGAACTTGCAACGTTAGGGAGACCAAGTCCCTCCGTTATGGGATGTTCCGGTGTTGGGTTGAACGTCTTCTACGGATTACTGTTCAGCGCAAAACACCACCGAGCGGACGCTCGCAGCACCACGCGTGTTCCGCCCCAGCCACCGAGCTCCGAGGACAATCTGGGCGCCTCTTTGGTGCTCGCAATTTGCCTCGTCGATGCGGTGGGCCCGACACCGGCTCGGTGTCGTGGGTGGGCCCAGGTCCGTGGGTCGGGGCTGGATGACATGTTCGGAACAGGTCCGGCATGTTTGAGGGTGTCCAGGTTCCATCATGGTCCGAAATTGAAGTCACTTGGCAACGACCAACGAAACCAACCAGGTGGGGCTCCAACGCTGGTGCATCAAGCCTTTGCTTGGCGGTGGTGTTTCGGGGGCGAAGTAGACTGGATGATTCTTCAAACCCTTTCCATAGCCTTCAGCTCGACGACCATCCTAGGGCTACCTCACGGGATTTGCTTTTGGAGTCCCAATGAGTGGGTAAAATTCGGAAGATCGACTACTACTACTACTACTACTACTACTACTACTACTACTACTACTGCATTTCCCAGCCCGTGCGTTTAGAACACCACGTTCGTTTGCCCCGGGAGCACCCGATGTTAGCTTTCTAGAACAATTTCAAGACACGTGGCAAGGCACGTGGTCTACTGGGGTGTACGGAAGCCCACGGTGGCATCAAGCCACAAGGTCTACATCGGGTGAGTCAGAATGCCTCCTGCCATTTGGGTGGACCGTGGTGGACTGTCTAGCTGCCTCTGTCTAGCTGGGCTGTCTTGAGCTGCATACCTTCATCCTAGAGAAAGAAATCCAGTGCTTTTGACTCTTGACTGCATCCATCTGTGCTCTCACACGACCTAGGATAGAGCCCGAATGAACTAGTGACTAGTGCTTTTGTTTAGGATGTCTTCCAACACTCTCCTACAGTATCCAGGTGAAAGCAAGTGAGTTTTCAGCGTCACGGCCCGTGTGTCGTCGAGACCGGGGCGCTCGACCAGCTCCAACACATCGGCAGAGACATAAAGCTTCTCCTGTGCACACCTTGCCATGGGCCAGGGCCAGGGGCTGCAGAACAGAACGCCTATCCTACCATGTGGTCACTATCCTACCATCTTGGACTTGCCCTCTTCAGTTCTGATATGTTCTGATCCACTCCCATATCTCATATCTCATCCTCTCATCCAGCAAGCCCTTTCAGGAACTGTCCACCTCTTTTTCTCCTCAAACTCAAGCAACATGCATCTGCTCCTGTGTACTGTCTGTCAGTCTCTTTTGGTCCTTTGTGAAGCCCTGATTTGAGACCAACATGGTCCACCACCAAAGGCAGCCAAAGGCACATTTCGTACAAGGTGGCACCCAGGCTCCAAACTTCCGTCTTGGGGCCGTATTTCTGCATGCGGGTGAGCTCAGGACTCATGTAGGCCTGCATCAAACCATCGGTATGCTTCCTGTCCAATCTCCCCAATCTCCCTGCGGTCTATCCCTTCTGGAATCGTGGTGTAGCCGGATGGGTTTAAGACAACCCCCAGGGGGTGTTTCCATGACCTTCTGCTGGAGTTTCCAGACACTACTACGACATGCTGCTTTTTTAGTATATACATGCAATGAGAGATACTAACCATTTTGACCCTTGATGGTCGCCCATCCCCACCGGACAAACCCGCCCCGGTTGCACCAAACCGTGCACCAAACCGTGCACCAGACCACTGAGTGGGGCGCCCGCGGTCAGTGTGTCCGCCTGTGTGCCCACCACGGTTTGGCACAAGGTCGCCGTGGATCTCAGGTTCTTCGCAATGCCAAAGTCACCCAGCTGGACGGAGCGCAAATCCTGCCCGGCCGTTCGGACGTCGGTCCCGGGCGCCGACGGGCACGAGGTGAGTCGTGACCGGGGAGGATCAATTCAAAGGCCACACGAAAAAGAACGCGTACCGAGCTGGTGCTGGCCGGGATGCAACAAAAACTGATACGTCTCTGAATCAATATGTTGGTAGGATCTTATAGGGTGTTTTTCCGATCCATGGTGGGCCACTTGTTGCTAAAGAGGCTTGCAAACTATGCAAATGTTGTTGGCTATGTGCAAATGACCAGGGTCAACTGCTGCCAGTCCTGTGTCAGGAAAACGTTGGAAGGCTTCACATCTCCTGCAAGAAAATCAAAAAAAAGCATTCCCTCAAAATCACATGCCAAATGCGTCACATTGCGTCACAATATCACAATGGTGGAAAGAAGGGCTTCACTTCCTTATCGTTCTGAAATCCTGCTTCATTTTTGGGGTCATATGCCCATCATGTACTATTTTAACACAACTGGAACCAAACAAACTACAGTGTTTAGAAAAATATTGATCTATCATGTCAGAAAACTTGTTCTGCGGGACAAGTTGCTGTGAAGGATCTTTGCCCGCTTGTGGCAGTACTGCAGCGCATGTGATAGCTGCGCAAGCCTTGGCCAAAGCGCCAACTCATGGGATCATGTGTCAAGCATACTCTGAGGCCATCACATTTATGCATCTTGCTTAATAATCGGGTGCAACTCAATCCGACACCCGCACACCCGCACACCTGTTGGCCCCTTTTTCCCCTAACCGATGCAGTTCAGGTATATACCCATACTATCCCGTACTTATTTTATCTCATTTCACAGGGCGAAAAGACACCCTGCACCATCTTAGCTTCGCATTGTACTAGCTTTTGCAAGCATTGAACACCTTGGGTGCCGGGTGCGTGGGATGACAGCAGGTGCGGATAACAATCATGTGCAAGCCCCAGCGCCCCAACCCAGTGAAACTGCCTTTTGCGGTTCTTCCGGTGACCCACCCAAGACATCCTTTTCAATTTCAATCCCTTTTGAACCATCCCAATATGCGTTTCACCTTTGTTGCCGAATCCTGGATGTGAGTTAAATCTTTTCGATTGATCCGGAGTGGGATCGTTGTTTTGTGGGGGGGTCAACATCTCGGAGCCAGAACACCGAGGACACCGAAATCTTCCGTAGCCAAGCCGGCCGACTTCCATCGAAAAATGAACGAACCGGGCCACCACTGAATGACGTTGGTCTCTGGGATCAGTTCCTTATTCTTCTTCTTGTAGAAGATGTAGTGAGCCAAATCCCCACCGTCACAATAGTGTTGGACAATGATGAGGTCCTGCAAAATCGGAAGCAATCGATCGTCCGGGAAGCCATCCAAAGCCAAATTTCTGCAAAGCAAATCGTGGTTCAAACTTAAACTGCAAAGAAGCGTTTTGGCAGCAAGCGAGGCGTCGGAACAAATCTGATATTTCCGAAACATCCGCACACGTCTAAACATCCCCCTATTCTTCCAGACTGAGTCCAGGAGTCCCAGCAGTCTGCTGACGAAGCCCACCCCGCCTCCTCTTTACGATTCACCCAGCTGCCCATGTATGTCACCTCACTGGATCGATCCGCCGAACTGGTGTCCTCGTTCCGGTGACGGAAGCCGCTTCACCCGGGCAGGTGGAGATGCGCGAAAGCTCCGTGCGGCCGTGCGGTCGTGCCTGCTTCACAGGGCTCGGTTGGATCCATTTGGATCCCATGAGATCGGTGACCGAACTTGAGATGTTCGACATCGAACCAGGGCCGTCCTGTCAAAGGTCCACCACCACCAGGGGACGTCCAAATGGTCATGTTGAAGCAATAAGGATCACAGGGAGTGACAACCAGAGCAGGTGATCGATGTTATGTTATTCTAGTTGATGCACCATGTGTGTGGTTGATCCAACGGTTTTCGTCCTGAACATCCGCACACCGACGTCTCCTTCTTTAGGGGGGTCTCCTGACCCAAGACATCAACGAAACCATGGAACCTCCACCATCACGTTCGCTCCAGATTCAATGCAACCAAAGTACGATGTGAGGGTGCTCCAAAGCCTTCAAGACTTGAGCCTCTTGTCCTTGACCAAGCGAAAAACAACATGAACACACCACTGCATCCATCCAATTTGATCGCATGTTGGAAGCAGGTGTCTTTGGTTTGGCTTGTGTGCATCAAAGTATCGCGTCTGTTCTATCTCTTCCTTCGACATTTCACCAACGTGAATACCTGGGCCGGCTGGTCCAAAAAAAGGCCAACAAACAAACCAATGCCATGACACAGCTTTGTGCAGAATGAAAGCGCTTCAAAGGATTTAAAAGCGACCAGGCAGAACGCAAGAAATGTAACAATCCATCTGCGATCCATGCAAAGGCAAGTCACGCTTGGCTGCCACCAACCTCAAGAAGTACATGGAACATCGTGGAACGCGAGAGTAGCGACAAGGTGCAGGGCACATGGATTCACGGAATCAACATGTGCATACTGTGCATACTCATTGACACTCTTTGACCACCGAATCGCCCAGAAAAGCACTGGTCAGTTCACACCTGCTGGCCAGCAAGGCGGAACCAGCTCAACAGACTCAACGGCCACAGATGGTGGTGTGGCCTGGCCGGTTCCCAACCTCTCGAGCTGGGCTCCGAGCTGTTCATCCTTGAACTTCTGACGCCAAAGCTCCACCACTCCGAAAGCGCCCTTCCCCAAGACTCGAATGAACTCCTCAGCCGCGGCAAAGAAAGAGGCCCTCCAAACCAGTCATTTCCGGTCCAAATCAGTCTGGGACGAGTGCCTGTTTTTATGGGACGAGTGCTGTGGTGCTTTGGGGGAGTTGGGGGGAGAGACCAGGGAGAGACCTCTTTAGCCTTGGAGCCGCTACCCAGCCACCCGGTAGTAGTAAGATGGTGACTCAAACGATCCGCAAATCCACGAGAGATACAGCGCCTGCGCCGTCCTTGGACGACAGCCGTCCTTGGACGACAGGTAGATCTACTGCGGACACCTTCAATGCTTGCCGACAGTGTTTGTATTCCAAACCCTTTTTAGGTGCTTACAACAAAAAATACCCCGACACCTTCATATCCTTGGATGATATCATTGATATGTTTCGGGGCCACTGTCCGATTTCAAGGAAAGCAGCAGAGCTCAACCCGTAACCAGAGCTTCCATACCCATCGCAACAGAGCGCACCGCCCAACAGAGCGCACCCCACCCCGTCGGCATGAAAGCGAATGCCCAGGTGCATAATTCTCGTCACGAGATGGCATTGGATGCGCCAATGGAGCGGCTAAATGGGGGCGGCTTTTGTGAGGATGTATCGCAAGAGGCCAATGTGAAGTGTTTCGCTTAGGTGGCCAGAGACACTTAGAGGTCCTTAGATTCTTGATGGTCCTTAGGTCCTTGTGTCTTCTTGTTTTTCCTTGGCCGATCAAACTTCAGTGCAACACCTGGAGCCAATGCTTTCGACAAACAGTGAGAAAGCAAACCACCAACACACCACTCGGCCAGCGAAGCAAGCGAAGCAGTGGCAGGTGCCCTGAAGAGCAATGCTGGCTGCCTTGGTTGCCTTGGTTCTTCGTTCTCTGAAGAAGAGGCAGGCGTCGCTCGTTTTTGTGAAACGCCGTATTCGCTGGTTCAAAGCGCCGCTGATCGCCTTTGAGCAAACAGCTTGGAGCAGTGGCTTCCTATCACTGTACAGGCCGAAGCACAGATTCTTTCACTCGCGCTTTGCATGTGGAATACCGTGAATACAATTGCAGTTTCAGTTCACAGCAAGGTTTTCATCTACTGCAACAAGATCTGATCTGATGATAAATTGATAATGCAAAGCTGAACTTGGCCAAGGCCAAAACTCATTTGGCCTGATTCACGTGCATAGAGACTGCCTGCGATAGATTTTGACTTTCCATGCATTTCGCAGGGCAGCCTGCAGGTGAAACAGTTTAGAGAATAAGCAAAAAAAGGACTAGCTTGTTCGTGACATTGAGGGGTGCTTTCCTCCATTGACCACTTAGATTCTGACACAAACGTTTGGGTCCAGCCCAAAAAAAAAGGAAAAAAAGAACCTCTCAGCAAGAAGTAGCCATCCGGTTTTGGATCCTCTTCATATATGCATTGGCGCTGTGCCCAATCTCAGCCACATTCTTCTTGGCCGTGTGTCTCTGCATATTCCTTGCGGACTGGACCGACTGGAGGATCTCCTGCTTCAGCACCAGATCAGCCGCCTTCGCGCGCTCCACCCGAGCGGTGACGGTCTGCTGCATCTGTTGATACTCCTCGATCTCGTGCTCCTCGCAGCGGTGTCGACGAGATCGAGGTCCACGGTTTCGTTGGATATTCATCCAACGAGCCAAACACTGAGCATGTCTGGGCCAAACACTGCATGCCAAATCATGAAAACAGGTGAACACCTGGCTAGATTGTGGGTAAGGGACAGTTGGGTCGCTATTCCAACCCCTATGACACAGTATGCCAAGTATGCATTCATTGCACATGTCCAGGTGCGGCTCCTGGTTATCTCTGCGTTGTTGCACTGCAGCCACCTTGGTCTGATTCTTCTTCCGCTGCTCGATCAAGGTGACCTTCTGTCTCTTCATGGCTTCTCGATCTAAACCTGCTTGCTGCTCGGCATGTGCTTTCGCCTCAACCTCAGAAGAAAGACATCAAGGATCATCAAGATGCCCTTTGAACCACCGGTGCTTTGGCATCGACGGTGGTGCACGCGAACATGCCCAGAACACGCCCCCGGACCTCCCCAAAAGAAAAGAAGCCCGGCAAACGGCGCAAACGGCGCAAACCCGCACCTGCTCCGCGCTGGCGGCCAAGAACTGACGTTTGGTGGCGATCTCCTTGAGCTCCAACTTCAGACGTTGCTCCTCCACCGGTCGCGCGGAGACGTTGCTCCGTGATGGTCCCACGGTTTGGGGCATCGTCACAAGGAAAAAGCAACATTGAACGGTGGGAGATGGTGGGAGATGGTGGGAGGGGAGCATTCCAGTCCGACCTTTTTCATGCGAGAGAGTTGTAAAATGTTGCAAAGATTGGATGTGATGGGTGGAGCGCCTCCTCCTTCTTTTGCCGCTTTTTCAGCTGAAGCTTCTGCGCCACCTGCACAGGCTGATCTGTCTTTGCGTCTAGTAGCGGCTGGATTGGTTCATGAAACAACGTCATGCCATGCCAGGGTTTTCGATGGATGCTGAGAGTTGAGTTTTTTCGCTAGCAAAGAATGCTACAAAAAAGTCTGGACGCTGTATGATTTTGTCACAGTTGCCTATGCTGTGAATTGTAAGTGCAGTCGGAGTAGCTCTCAGTTGAAAGTCCAGTCGGCGGCCAGTCTGGCCTCAGTGATGCACTGCTCACGATGCCTCTGCTTCTGCTCCTCCTCCAAAATCTTTTGCCTCCGAATCTCCTCATGTCTTTGCTGCTGTTCCTCTCGAGCTCTTTCACGGACCTTCGCCAGCATCTCAGCCTGCAAACGACACGACTCACCAGCAAGAACATCTCACCAGCAAACTCCTTGACCTGGACCTTTAAGGGGTGTCCTGTCTGGAGGTCCCTTAGTGGTGTAGGAGCTTCCGTGACCCCTTTGAAGGTGCTGGGATACGTATATATATATATGTGTGTATATATATATATATTTGTATCTGGGACACACGTTGCAGTCTCTCTGCAGCACACACGGCTTGCATGACATGTGAAAAAGAAGACATGAACACACTGGCGCACACTCAGTCAAACCATGCACGTGAAAAAAAAACACATAACATAACAAAACACTGGGCCATCGCTAGAACATGAGCTTTGACTGAACTCCTGATTGTGTGCCTTCTCCGTGAGCTCTTCCTGCTTTTCCACCTTCCTGGCCAGTTGCCTGCGAAGTCGCAACATGACATCCCAAAGATGGCAGGAAAGCCGAAAGAGGACCGTCCATCCTGTTGTGATTCGATCCTCTCTCGCCCGCCTCTCACGTTTAATGTCGAGCTCCTTTTCACGGTGCGATTGAACCTCACAAGGAGATGGCTTGGCAGTGCTTGTATTGGTCTCGTGCTTTTGCTAGCAGGACCCGACATGCAGACTGCTGGGCTGGTAAGGAAATGAGCTTGGCTCAAAACGGCCCCACTCCCCAACATAGAAAAAAAATACGAAAAGTGTTCACCATTCTGCTTTCCTCCTCTCAATGGTTTCTTTAAAGGACCCATGACCCACGTCATTTGGGACATCCGCACGATCCGCAGCCGTTCTTTGAGCTCCGCGAGGGACATCTCGTCGAGCAAGCCCTGCAACGACTCCCGCAGCGCCCGACAGGTTTAGAGTGTCGGAGAGCCTTGCGGGTGCCTTGCGGGTCCACGGTGCTCTTCTTTAAGATCTGGTTTACCACCAGGATTCTTGGAGTCATGTGTTGATGACTGAGATCTTGGATACTTCCCTGGAAAAAAAAAGCACTAAAAAAAAGCTTTGTTGAGTCAAGGTTACTGTTTACTCCGCCACCTTTCACAAGACCCTTGTTTTACTTTTTTTCCGAATGAATCTTTAAACATGTTGCAACTCTTCTCCGCCCAACATCACGCCGCCCCACGACCCAGTCCAGTCCAGTCCTGGCAGGGTGGCTCTGCAGGATCAAACATCCTGGGCCGTGGTCCCGGACAGCCCCAGACGTTAAAAAAGAGTAAAAAAAAGTACCAAAAACATTATGAATGTGTGTTTTTATGTGTAGAGAGCAGCTCAGAGATATGGAAGAGGATATATATATATATACTACTGCGTTCGGAACGACGTCGTCACATTACAATCTTGTGAATGATCTGTCTCGTCCACGTCCATCCACCCCGTCGAGATGCTTGTACTTCTCCACAGGAACCTTTTCCAGTGCACGAATCTGCCGGATCAGGTCCCGCTTCCGCTCCATTTCCTGGGCAAACGGCTTCGGCGGCAAACCGGCCACTCAGTCGATCCGTGGTGCAACTGAGGGGTTCATGCGTGGTTCTGTAAATCTGATGAACATTGCAGGTTGTGTTGACATGCACGGTTGAAGCATGGCACCACGCAAAATATATAATTAATATCAAATCTCCATATATATATATATTTATATATTACTTTACAGTAATTTTAGGGTTTGTATTGTTTTAAGGTTCCCGGGCCCGGATGTTTGACTATGGGGTATGCTTCGGAGGTATGCTTCGGGGGTATGCTTCGGGGTATGCTTCGCGCAGTGTGAAGACTAAAGTAGTAGCATTTCCAGAGGGTATGCTTCAGGGTATGCTTCGGGGGTATGCTTCGGGGTATGCTTCGCCTAAGTCGAACATCCCAGTCCTACATAAACTGGACACCTTAAAAAAGACCAGCTCTAGTGGAGAACATCGCATGTGCCCCTTTCTCTGCAACACGCACTCCCCGGTTGTCGGCCTGTTCGTCTTCTTTCTTCTTCCGCTCGAACTCCACCTGCTGGGTGCCGAGACTGAATCCGGTCGACGGATTTTCGCGACCGACCTCCTTCTCCTTTCGCATGTTGTCGGCGTTGTTGACTCGTTCCTGAAATCCATCTTGGGCGCAGGTGTACCGCCAGATCTGAGGAGCTAACAGCAAATACAAACATCATCAAACATCTCTTTGTTTGTCCGTTCATAACACCAAGAAGTACGGTATGCTGAAGCTCGGCACGACTGAAACTCGATTGAAAGATACAGTGGCATATATAGAAATCCAAATGGATTCGTGCTGCCAAGACTTTAAGACCCGAGCTGAGGGGTCGATGTTCTCTGACAATTAGAGGGCTTTGGGGCCCCACTTCTCTGAGAAGGTTGCATGAAGGTGTCATTCCCAAGGAGGTGATCTGACTATCACAGTCTATGACTATGCCTATTTGTAGAAAGGCTTGTGAATGACGAGGGTCATCGTCATAGTCATAGGGTTGTTTGTAGAAGGGTTGTAGAACTATGACTATGACTATGAATCAGGCTGAATCTGGACGGTACAAAATTGAAGCTGCAAAAATTTCAGTTCCGGAACTTCCACGGGTCTGTCAGAAGTCCGAAGTCCGACGTCCTTGAGGATCTCTTGCTCTTTCTCTCGAGCCTTTCCTCGATCCTGCAGAGCTAGGCAACAGCTAGCCACGTAGGAGCTGTATATAACTTAACTCAACTACATGTTTTTCCTATTGTGAAGCGAGCTGCACAAGCCTGAAACGGCTCAGGTACTGAAGAGTAGGTGAAGAGGCCAATCTCTCCACAAGGCTGAAGGCGCTTTGCCCAGCTTTTCTCCGCAAATGTTTCCATGCGAACCTCCACTGCCACATTCGTCTTAAACGAACGTGCGCAGTCTAGGAAAGGATCTACAAGTGCTTTGGCAAAAAGTCCAATTCCTCCTCACTGGTGTGCTGACGTGCAAGGCGAGACACTGCCTTGGCTGCACAGGCACCACGGCACAGCATTCTCCAGAGGTTGAACACGTTGCTACAAATGAACAAACCACCCAACACCTCTGAAATTCAACCTGTTCGTGATCACTGTGCTGTGTTTCTATGTTCTCCTGCAGCACAAGCCCTCGGCCAATTCTCCAACGGGAATTGTCTCTCCCATCTGTCTGCTTCTCCCAATTTACCAATGGCTGTCTCATTCTTCTCTGATTCCATGCCTTTGATCTATGAAACACCTCCCCTGGCACAACCCAGCTCAGCTCGGGCCACTGAGAGCCGCTTGAGGATCCTCACCTCCGCTTCTCCCGGATCGTCCGGCAGCAGTAACCATGACAGGAACTCTTTCACCTCCACTGAGCCATCCTTGTTCACCTCAAGTTTAGCTAAGGGAGATAGGGAGATAGGCCACTCTGCTATGCTGAGTGCCCCATCGGATTCGACCTGTCCGAAGCGTGCGCGTATCAAAAGCCAAGGGAGAACATGGGAGAACATCAGCTGTAGGGCGGACCCACATGTTGATGACTTGCTTGAGGGCCATGGTGTGGGGTTATGAGGGCAAAGGAAGTGAAGAATCCCATGTGGAGATTGGGGATCCTCCCCGCCAAACCTGCGCGACCTTCGCTCATGGCACCCATTCGCTCATGAAACCCCGTTCAGTCCTGCCGGTCCCCAGAAACCCGTCCCGTGCAGGTGAGCCGTGAGGTTTTGGACACGATCCACAGCATCCCACACCCACAGCGGAGTTCGGAACTAGCGTGAGAATTGCTACCTGGGGATACTGGATGACCTATGACCTATGACCCCCGGCTTACTTGCTTGATGAATGACCCCCAAAGTCTTCACACATCTTGCCATGATTCAAGTATTAAGTACATTATATTAATATACTATATCGTATCCCAAAAGTGTGTTCTATGGCTTTTTGGTGGCTCCCCCAACAACATGGTGGAAGACCCCAAGTGGCAAACATGCTTTCCTATGTTTTCCATCAATGTTCTTCCTCTTCCGAAATCCTGCCAGCCATCTAACTCAGCATTTGAACATCTGCCGCTTCGTCACATCTGCCGCTTCGAACATCTTCATCGCTGAGATCGCAGAGAATGCTTCATCCACCGAGGAGATCAATCGGCAAAACTCTTTCACCTCAAAATCCGTCGGTCCATTCTCCGCATGGATGTCCGAACGGTTTACCGGAATTCAACGGATGGCGAACGGTTTTTGCGACCTCCTTTTTGAGAGGATTTGTCATTGCCCTCTCCCCTTTATTCGGATCTGTTCATATCGTGTGGACGAACACTAATGAACACCCTGTTTGGATCTTGCGTGATTTTTTCTCAAACCCCTCTTCATCGTGACCATCCGCCTTCATCCGGCCATCACCGTCTTCATCGTGACGAGAGAAGAGCATCAGGAGCTCCGCCTCGTGCTTCGCACGACTGTCAGGGGTCAGCTGGATCACATCCTCGCATCCAAAGAACTTGGGAAATTATAAGCTTTGCCCTTTGATCCCCCTTTGAGGGTTTGTTCAGAAACCAAAATTATGTAGACTCTTGATGAATCAAAACCCCCAAAACACAATCCAAAATTGGGGGGTTGACTCATCCAGATTCTACACTCATTCAACAACATCTACCAGGACCCTCCAAGAAGCCTATAGGTAGTGTGGGGTAGTTCATTGGACACCCCGACAGGAGGGTCCTGGTAGGTTATAATAAAGAGATTGCGGGCTTGCACCACCGAGCATCCACCTGCGCCTGCTCCGCCTCTTCTTCTTCCAGGCCGTCCTTCCTCACGGCCGAGGCCACCGACACCGCGGCCGCGGCGGCGGCGGCCGCGGGCAGCACGTTGAAGTCCAACTGGGCCAGGCGGCTGCGTAGCCAGAGCTTGTAGGCGTGCAAGACAGGGCCTAAACGTTCAGCATGTGCCAACAAGCGGCGATAGCGCAGGATACACCAGGTTGTGAGGTCAGGTGGAGAAGCTTCGTGGGTACCGCAGGCCAGATTCCACGAGAGCTTGCGCAAGCACACCGGACACAGGTCGACCTGATGCAAAGCGAGTTGACAAACAGCTGAGTTGACCTGTGAAACCAAGAGAGAGGTTGGTACTAAAGCCTGCATCTTTCAGCTTGCTTCGCCCCTAGTTTCAGCTTAAGACCATCGCTGTGATGGGGTGGCGTTCGGGTGAAAACGCGGACCTCGCACCTGGTCTTGGTTCGCATCACTCTCGTGCAAGCCGCTACTGCCTTGCATCCGGCAGAGGTAGAACTGGCAGTGTCTCATCCCAAAGAAGTGGCCCAAATCATGGGAGAGCATCCCATGAGCCCTTCGAAGGAGTGTTTCCAAATCGCCCTCGCGACGTTCCTTCGGATAGCCTTCGACCACTCGCAGGGCCTCGCTGGATCGGTCTCACCACCAAAACCGGGCAGAGAGAGGAAGCAACGAGCAGCGAGGGTTTTGGGGCTTTGCTTGATTCAACAAAAACGGACATGTCACATGTCTGTTAATGTCTCTCACTTCTTTGAGGTATCTGGACCAATACATGCTTTGTATATTTGGTTGGGACTACTAGAAGCCCTTCACGAGTCTCATGTGGTCAATTCTGCAGGGTCTTCACTTGTGGTTCATTGTGCAGATCGTGATTTTTTTAATCATATATCCATCACCCCTGGGAACCATGTTCACCCCTGAGCACCAGGCATTGAAATCCATCTGGCAGCTCACGCGGTACCAGGCAGGATCCAGTCGACACAAGGAGAAGATGCCAGCCCTATCTCGGAGGGACAAGCTGCTGTGGACAAACATCTGCGAACTCTCGAAGAGGTCAGCCATGGTGATACCAATGATACAAAACCCATCCATCGGAAGACGGATGCGGATCTGCCTCAAACTATCCTTGGCATGGTACTGAAGGTCATTTCCATGTCCATTACCTCGAGATGCGATGCCCTTGCCGGTCAGGAGCGGATCGAAGGGCAGGACCTCAGGCAGGCATGGCCCACATGGACGATGAGTATACTAGACACAATCTATTTCAAAAATCCTAGAATTGAAAATTTACATAAGCTATACATATTATATCATATTATGGCTAGTTACGAGTTGAGACCTATGTCTCTTTTAACTTTTGACACTGGAGTTTTAGGGTGATGTCTTCACCTCTTCCACACGGGCAATATGCAAATTGTTGTGTGAATCCTAGCATCATTGCAAGACTTTTGGTATACTGGTATATATAACCCGTATTCTCTAGTATTCGGTCTTCCCCCATCTCTCCCTTACATGTCGAACCAAATGCCTACCTACCCCATCCGGCCCCTCCCACCTTGCAGGGCAAGTCGAACCACGCTTCGACGAAGCGTTGGAGAATTCGAAGGTCCGGCAAGGTGCCCACATGCTCATGCCCACCACCGGGCTCCGTCAGTGGAAGCAAATAGATCTTGTAATGTGCCCTGGCAGGTGCTGGTGGCCGTTCCAAGACATAATCCTTGAAGCTCTGTGGCGTCTCTTTGGACTCAAACATCCAAGTATCAGGGATTGGAGGTAATTGTGGAAGAAAGAGCGGGCTCAGGGGCTGCAAGATTCGTTGCAGCTTGTGCATCTCCACCGTAGTTCGATGCTTCTCTGGATACACCTCCTCTAATTCCAATTCCAGCTCCTTGCCTTCCGCCATCACCTTGGCAGCATCCTCATGATGTTCCATGCCGATAGCCTCCAGTTGAGCTTCCAGCGGTGGAGGCACCCAAGATCCCGGTTCCTCCCGTGGAAGTTGCCGCCACTTCGCCAGCGCGCTACTGGCCCCGCTCCCGCCAGCGCGCTCGGCGCGTTCGGAACGGGGCTCCGGGCGGGTGGAGCTCTTCGAGGTCTTCCGCGACGGGGCCGGGGAAGATGGCCGACGAGCTCGTCCGCTGAGGGGCCGGCTGAGCGGCCTCGGAGGAAGGAGATGAAGGAGGAGGAAGATCAAGAAAACACCCCTCATGTGACACCCAACTGAGCAGTAGTAGCAGTAGTAGTAGCAGCAGCAGCAGTGGTAGTGGTAGTGGTAGTGGTAGTGGTAGTGGTAGTGGTAGTGGTAGTGGTAGT